TGTTCTCAGAGCATTCTTGCCATACACCCCATTTACAAGTGCCACAAGACTGCTGCTGTGTTGGGGAATGACCAGGACTGTCCCAGTGAATGCAGTTCAGATGTCCATCCTGCCCAAAGTCACTAGTTCTCTCCAAAGCCATATAAAGGGGGTTTTCACTTACATATCTCCAATCCTCCGTGTTTATTCAACCTATAGTCAGTGCTTGGTTCTCTCCCTTTCCCCTTTGGGTATGCAGGGAAGGCAGGTGGGGATTTGAAAGTGTGGCAAGTAGGTGTCCATCCAGGGTTCTGTAACAATTAGCCTCTGTGTACTAAAGAGGGTGTGAAGCCATTTGCTGATGTACTGCTCAACCCATAACTCCAGTGTCTTATATGAATTCCGCCAGGTACATATACGTAAAGAGAAAAAATTGCATCTTTCTTGAATTGAGCCTCTCTTCCCTGTCTCGGCATCAAAGAGCCTTGGACATAGACTGCTACTGTCTAAATTGAACAGTATAACAGAAAAATAGCTGGCATCATGTAAAAAGGTACTCGTGGACAAAAGGACAAAATCACATTCATTTCATTGTGGTCAGTAGTTCGTTGGCTTGAAGTTTGTTTTGGTGTATTTGGAAGGTGGAAAGGAGTACTTCCTTCTAACTCCTGATCTGCATCTCGTAGCAGACATAGCCGTGGTGCTGGGAGATTGGAATAAATAGGAATTTGCCTGAAATATACCATGAAACTCATACTTCATTTTCAAAAATGCTTAATAATTAGTATAATCTTAATAATGTATATATGTGCCTATATATAATTCCTAGCGATTGTAGTATATATAGCCTGCACACAGTGGTGGCTGGGAAGTAACAACCACCTCTCTGGAGGAGGGGTTCCAGTTTGCAGCATTTGCCAATTTCCATGGTATAAATGCTCCCACATGGCCAACTTCCATCTACCAATGCTTTAATAACTGGCATGCCAGATTTCTGAAAATTTAACTCTCAGTTCGCACAAACCACTTTACGTTGGATCCAGAACACAAAAACTTTTAAAAATCAGACTTGATTAGGTTACATAAGGATCTCCAAAGGGCTCAATCTAGAGCAAAAACATGTATTATTTATTTTTATAAATATACTGTTTTGGTAGCTTATGTGAAAATGTGGAACTACAGTCCCTGAAATATGAAAAGCTGCTAACAATATGCTATATAATCACAGTAAAATCTAATGATTTCACTGGATTGTCTGCAGGTAGTCTCAGGTAGGAAAATACTACTGTGAAAAAAAAAATTGTAGACAAAGCCTAAGGAGAAAAACGAAACCTGTATTTCTCTATATTTTCAACATATTAACTCTCTTTCAAGACTACCTTGCAGAAGCTAAGAAGTCTTGGTTGGTCCCTGTACAAAACATTACATTCATTCATAGTGTTTCTTTGAGAAAAAAAAGGATGTTTGGGCGTGGCTATAATGTGAACACTTTATCCATGTGTATTCCTCACCTTGATTTCATCTTTCCCACGGAATAATAAAATTCTAGTAACTGTCACGCCTAAACATACCACACTCCTCCCCACTCTTCCTTCCTCTCGCTGAACTGGTAAGGCCATACCTTGCAGAGTGAAGCATTCTCTTTTTGGAGGAAAGGAATAGAGTGGCTTTGATGTCCCAGTTGTGGGTCCCTGTCTTTCCCTCTGACTCCTATGGAGACATTCTTCATTTGAATATATATATTCATTCTCCTCCTTACCCACTGATCTCCTTAATTCATCTTTCATACATTCCATTCTCTCTCTCTTTCTCATCATCTCCTGAATATGGAAGTGAAGAACAGCTTTAAATATGTATTGTTTATTGAGTATAAATGTTTGCATTTTATGTCTCATTCTTTAGTGTAAAAAAATTAAAACACAAAGGCCAAGCCTTCTAAATTAAGTAGGTTTTATTTTTATCAACAAGTCAATGGCTTTCCATAAAAAATAACATGTTGAAATTTAGCCTTGTAAGAAAATTGATGAAAACAGTATTACACGGGAGGGATCCTTAAACACACACAGAAAAATGCTGAAAATGAAATGGGCAACAATGAAAAGAGGATATGAAAGTAGCAAAATGCATAAAGAATCAAATTATAGGTATAAATCTCCCATGGTTGAAATGTTTAAACTTAAATAAGAATAAAAATTGTTAAATCAGTAATTTGTAATTCACTACAGTGGACTGTAATATATTTCTCACATCTCACTTAGAATATAACTAACTGACCAGACCACCTAAAGTCAGCTTCACGAACTTGCTGCAAATGCCCACATGAGGACACTGATGTCACTGTTTATCTGGGACCCAGCAAGATCCTGAACACTGTTGCATGGGTCAAAATGGCCTCTACAGGAATCAGAAAATATTTAAAAGCATATGGTACAGTTAGTTCTTCCCACTTCACAAGCTAAATATCATGCTCAAATATTTTATGAGTCTGTGACTTGACAGAAAATGAAGTGAAAAATTCAGGCAAATCCTGCAAACAATTCAACCACATCCCCCAACCACACCCCAAAATTTCCACTTTTCTTGATATTTCAAGTGAAAATGTTTGAGTTGATTGATTCATCTTCAAAGTTACCTCTCAATTCTCTCTTCAGCTGGTACATACACATGGTTACAGAGACCTGCTCTAATGGCATATTAAGAAGCTGATTATCTAGAAAGAATACTATAGACTTAGTTGAAAACTGGGGGAAAGAGTTTAGGCTTTCCATTTCAAATTGTCATTGTATTCTAAATTTTATATTAAAAATAAATATTAAAAAACATAATTTCACAAATACTTTTATACTGTGTACCCAGGACTCCAAAAATATTACCTGGAAAAAAATTTTAAGAATTAATTATATTGGGGGCACCTGGGTGGCTCAGTCAGTTGAGCATCCGACTTCAGCTCAGGTCATAATCTCACAGTTTGTGGGTTTGAGCCCCATGTCAAGCTCCGTACTGACGGCTCAGAGCCTAGAGACTGCTTCGGATTCTGTGTCTCCCTCCGTCTCTGTCCCTCCCACACTTGCATTCTGTCTCTCTCTCAAAAATAAATAAATATTTAAAAATTAAAAAAAAATTAATTGTATTGATTTCTTCACCATTTGTAACACTGTCTATGGTGTTATAATTGAGTGACTGAAGAGCAATTACAAGTATTATGGTTACCAGTGCCCTGGTTCATAGCAAAAAGTATACATATGCACCAAACACACACACTAATCACAGAATCAATGATACGCTGATGTTCATTGTATATGCAATAAGATAGCAGTTGCATGTTAGCTGATGCCATTCACATCTTCAACCAGCTAACAATACACTGCCAACCCATCACACACAGGAAACCAGTGCAGCTTGTTAGCAAGAAGAATTTATCCAGAAGCAAGTGGCAGGGTAGTTGTGGCTGCCACATTGACCCAAAGCAGCCAGCTAACAATACACTGCCTACCTGACTCAGGTCACTGCTGCTTTTCATGGCCCATGAAGTCACGGAAGCTACTGTATGCAATATGAAACACAGTAGCCGAACTGTAATCTTAATAGTCACAGGAAAGAAAACTCATAAATAAAACTTGTTACTCCAAAATTATTATAAAAAAAGAAAAATACTGTTTTTAAATCTCAGCAAAAATTTAAATATATATATATATTTTTTAAATGTTTATTTATTTCTGAGACAGAGAGAGACAGAACATGAGCAGGGGAGGGGCAGAGAGAGAGGGAGACACAGAATCCGAAGCAGGCTCCAGGCTGAGCTTGTCAGCACAGAGCCCGACGCGGGGCTCGAACTCACGGACCGTGAAATCATGACCTGATCCGAAGTCAGTCGCTCAACCGACTGAGCCACCCAGGCGCCCCAATCTCAGCAAAAATTTAAAAAGACAAACTTTCAGAATACTTGCACTTAGCTGTTCCACAGTAAATGCTTGGATATCAAAATACGGTTTTGCAGTACAAGTGAATTAACAAAGTTATACTTAACTGTAGCTTTTCCAATTATTTCTCTTTACTGAGAAATATTTTCTCTTTACTGACCAAAAGACCAATTGTCTGTATTAGGCAGGAAAATATTTAGGAGTCATGGAAGTGCATAATTTTGGTGTAAAAGAAAACTGTAGCTATTTTGGAAGGAAAAAAATCACTATTAAAGTATTTAGGGACTTAAGTTGTCATTATTTTGTCCCCCATTATAAATAACATTAGCCATTGCATTCTGAAAGGGCTGTTATGTGTTTGATTTACTGTGTCACCACTTAAATATTGCAAGATTTTTAAAAGACTAAGAAAAATCTGTAAAAATGTTAATGGGTTTGAAACTAGAATCTATGAGGAAAGTTTAAAGGAATAAGAACAATTTCGTGTAGAGAGAAGTAAGGTGAATGGTGATTATGAGAGATTTAAAGCATATGAGGGATGTTTATGTAGTAAAAATAAGAAAAACTCATTTATATTTGTTTTATTCTTACACTGATTAAGAGAGAAGCTACAGGCCTTGGCTTCAGACTTTGAAGGAGAAAAAGTAATACATCGGATCAATTTTAACGTGAGGATCGCCCTTGGATTAGGCCACTTCTCCCGATTATCCACAAGATGGCACCATTTCCATTTCTTTGGGGGGCAAGCTTTTAAATGCAACAGAGGAAAGAACAATTCGCAACTGTTAAAATGAAATAGTAACAGCCAGCTAGCAATGCGCTGCCTACATCCAAGCTTCATCCTTTTCTGTTGAGCCAAAAACTAGAAAGCCCCATGGATATACAAACAATTCCTCTTGTCAGGGATCTTCAGTGTCTTATAGAAATGTGGGGGGGAGGGTGTATAATTAGACTCTGCAGTTAGTGATATTTTAGGAGACTGATTTTTTAAATTTTCATATTCTTAGACCAGGCCGTACTTCCAACAAGTACCTTCTTTAGGAAAAATTAGTTTGTTCAAAATCAGAATTAAGAGAACCACAGTAAGCACTAGACACTTACCTTGGGAGAACCTTGACTTCTCTTTTGCTTCATGTCTTTGGCGAGCACCCGCATGACGTTCTCCTTGGAAAATATATATAACATATGGAGAGAAAAATCATAATGTTAGGCGCGGAATGTTTCTAGATCCTCAGCTTGTCCAACCCCATTTACTCATTTTCTCTACCAGCCAGGCACCTCTAGAACACAACTAAATTACACATCGCAAAATGAAGGATCAGGGTTTAGAGTCTGTCCTACCTGTTGGTCCTCAGCGGGCAGAGTCCCCTTCAGGGAGTCGGGGCTGGGAAACAAAAGGACGTTACTCACCCACAGCATCTCTTCTTCCGTCCGGACCCTCCGCGGGGCGGTGCGCTCCAGTTTCCACTCCATCTCAGGAGGATTTTCCCCTGCCGGGTGTTCGGCCTCGCCTCGATCGGCTCTGGTTTTCCCCCGGTCTAAGCCAGCCTTGACGCCTAATCGTCAAACCTCTACTCTCATCCCCCAGGACCATCATTTTTCGCTCTTAACCTCCATTTCCCCCATTCCTCCCACGGCTCCCAGAGAGTATTCCCCAGGGGACTGTTTAAAAAGCTGGCGGGGCGGCAGCGGGAGCGGGAATCCCCCTCTCCCGCTTCTCATTGGCCAGCGCTTTGGTGACGTCAGAGGTCGGGAGGGATTCCCCCCGGCGCGCCCCTCGGCCCGCCTCCACCTTCCAGCCCAGCCTCGCAGCCGCTTGCTCTTTGTCCGCGGAGGCGCGCACTGGAGCGCCAAGCTTTGCCGCGAGCCTTGGCGGGCCTGAGCTGGGCCCGGCGCCGAGGGCTGTCACGCCAGCAGGAGATGAGGGGGTTGGCGGGCGAAGAAGCGGGTTCTGTGAGTTCACGTTCTTTCCATTTGCCGGGGCGGGGGGGGGGGGGGGGGGTGGGGGGGGGGGGGTGTTTTTAAAAACGGGAATTTTGAAAAGTTGTAATT